TTTTTGTTTTTGTTCTGTTGTTGTTTGGTTTGGTTTGGGGGGGGGGTTTGGTTTGGTTTTTGTGTGGATTGTTGCAGATTTCATTCAGAATTGTATTGACTAATTTCCTTCAACATTGTAGGGGGTTGCTAAGCAACATGGAGTCTTTCTCTATGTGTTTGTCCCATGGAGAGAAAATGGGAAATAGAAAAAGATTCACCTTCTCTAATACCTATCAGATCACAGAGTCTCTCATTTCAGGCCAAGGCAAAGTTATACTATTCATAGTTCTTTCTCAGAACTTTCTCTTTCTCTCCTACTTAGTTTGGTTATGAATTTAGTTAGAATATAGATCCTACCAAAGGGACAAAATTTGCTATCGCTTTCAAGGTGCTGTCGGACTGGCATTCACACACATCTATCTGTGGACAATGCAGTGTAAATCTGGCCAACAACTTTCTTTCCTGTGCAATGTGACTTGGGGGCTGATAAACAGAATCAAGCTATACTCAGCATGGAGTTATTCTTTGAGACCTTAAAACAGACAGCATATCTGGCAGACAGCTCATTCTGACCAGCCAAATTGATTCAATCAGGTCTTCCAGCTGCTTCATTTCTTAGTGCTGGGCCTTTCCAACAGCAAAACCAATCTACTTGCTGTGTTGTAATGTGGCTTATCATAGGGTTACCATACGTCCGGATTTCCCCGGACATGTCCGGCTTTTTGGTGCTCAAATCCCCGTCCGGGGGGAATTTCCAAAGAGCCGGACATGTCCGGGGAAATAGGGAGGCATAAGCCAGGGTCCGCCCAGCACGATCCACCGGGTCCGCAGCGCAACCCAGCTGCCCCAGCTACAATGCTAAGGCGGGGAACGGGGGGGGCCCTCGGGCTTCCCTCGTGGGCGGGGCCCCCCCAGCCACTGGGGGACCCTTCCTGTGGCCCCGTTGCCCCGCGCAGCTTGGAACCCAGCGCCACGGGAGCTGTTTCCGGCGGGGACAGACAGGCCAGGGAATGTGCTCGGTGGCAGGAAGGAAGCTGCGGCCGGGGCTGCAGGGACCCGCGCTGCAGAGCATCTGAAGCCCCCAGCAGGCAGAGGCTACCGGATGAGCGGGGGTGCAGGGGCAGGGCAGGCGGGGGGCACAGAGGCGGCAGGGGGTGCAGGGGCTGCAGGGCGAGTGGGGAGCACGGGTCACAGAGGCTGCAGGGCCGGGGGGTGGCAGGGGCTGCAGGCGAGTGAGGAGCAGGGGTCACAGAGGCTGCAGGGGCGGGGGGTACAGGGGCTGCAGGGGCAAGTGGGGAGCACGGGTCACAGAGGCTGCAGGGGCAGGGGGGCACAGGGGCAGGGCAGGCGGGGGCGCAGAGGCTGCAGGG